TCTCCCCGTGTCTGCGTAGGTTTCCTCCGGGTGCTCCGGTTTCCCCTACCACTAAAAATATGTACAATAGGTCTGGCATGTGCCTCCTGTACTGGCACCCCACTCCCAAAAAATAACAATTGTAAACCGCTTTGAGACTCCGATATGCAGTGAAAAGGCGGTATATAAAATAAAGATTACTTAAAATAAAGATTAAAGATTACTTTAAACAGAACCCTGAGACTATCAAAGAGCAGGTGCATTTATACGGAGACTTGATTACACACAGGTGCGTTCTATTTATCATCATCAGTCATTTAGGACAACATTGGATCATTCAAAGATCCTCACTGAACTTCTGGAGTGAGTTTGCTGCACTGAACTGAAAGTGAGTTTTTCAGTTTTTCAGTTTTTTATTTGTTAAAGTTTAAATTATCCAATAGATTTCGTTCCACTTCACGATTGTGTCCCACTTGTTGATTCATGACAAAAAACCTTTTTTTTTATATCTTTGTTTGAAGCCTGAAATGTGGCGAAAGGTTCAAGGGGGCCAAATACTTTCGCAAGGTACTGTACATGGGGAGCAATGCAAACGCATTGAATGAAAAATGGATAAATAATGTTGTTATTTTGTTTACAAATAACCGGCTCTTCCAGCTATATTCAGCAGGGTTTTCTGAGTTAGAAATGTATTGAGAGCGGGCATTAACTACTGACTAACTTGAACTGTAAGCTCCAGTCCCATTTAAAAAAGTCTGTATAAAAAAATGAAACAATGTACAAGCGTGTTGTATCACCAGCGCTTCCCGCAAACTGTTATGTTTCAGAAAATATCACCAACAAGAATGTAGTTAAATAATTTATTGAAGGGAGTGCGCCTAACACAGGAACATATACAGCTGAACATCAAGCATAAAGCTTATCCTTTTTAAAAACGAGTAGATGCACTTTCACAGTGAGTGAAAATGTTGGTGTAATTACTAATCACATCTTATCAAGATGTGCAATGAAACCATTGCCTAAATTGTTGATTATTGAAAACAATCTACATCTAGCGACGCTATTACTAACAAACTATTAGTGATAAATTGGTAAATGTTTTGTTTATGAATCAAAATATAGTTAAACTATTCATTTTTTTCTTAAAAGCTTCAAACAAACTGCTATCTTTATTTAGGTTGCGTATGCTAACAGTCTGATACTACTATGGCTGTCTGCTATCACTAAATTGAGATAAATCCATTTTGGCTGCTCTTGGGCTGCACCTGGAGCAGCAGCGAGTGCTCTAAACACAGTGGCCCATACACACAGTGCTACAGATAAGCCTTCTGTGGAGCTCCTCAGCGCTGGCCATGTAGGGAGCACAGGCACCAAATTTGGACAGGCATTCCAGCCAAACAGTCGTGTGCCCAGAACGTGAGGCTGCCGTGTGTGGAGTGGTTTCCCCATGTCTATGGGGCAGTTGTCATGGGTAACCATACTTGAGACTTGCCGTGTTTTGGAGAAGTGTGAGTTTTACTACCTCAAGTATTAACCTTTGTCATAAACAACCATTTTCTTCAGCGGTTGTGTGTGCGGCACTTCGAGTGGTTGTGTTTCTCTATGGCAGGATCTGGAATTTTTCACAAACATTAAAGCCACCCTATGTAATTTTTACAGTTGCTCCAAATGAAAAAACATGCTAAGTTATAACAAATGTGACCTTTTTAAGAATATTTACCACCTTTATGTTTTTATAATTGTTGTCATAGACTTAGAATTTAACTTATAAATATCCATGAGAGAGGAGTGCTCGCCATGTCATTGTGCCATCTTGAAATACAGGGACAAAAAGGATGCGAGAATCACATTTTGTTTCCCAATTTCTACTGATATTGCTGCTTTCACTGTGCCCTCACAAGTTTGAAGAAGGAATCATGAGGCTCACTAGCCTGGCTCTTGCCAGACCCTTGTAGTTCCGCCATGCTCCACCAGAGGCGTTTGCTGAACCACAAGGGTTTGGTATTGAGCGCATACCAAACTTCTTCTGCAGATAAGAAAATAATCGACCAATCAGGATCGCCGGTGTTATGTCGGGTTTGCACTGCCTTCTCAAGCGTGTCTCACGCGGCAGCGAAAGCAATCCAAGATAACGGACATAAAGTCTGTGATTAAAAAAAATAGTTTAAATACGAACGAATTAAGACACAGATGTCACTTTTAATGCAATTTGAGGCGAGATGTTGATGGTTCCATGTTGTTATGTGTGTTTTAAGTGTCAAATGTTTGTGTAAAGTTTGGTTTAAGCACTGGTTTAAGTGTTCCTGTTTACAACACTACGCAGCAGGGTTTTCAGGTTGGGTGACGCTTTGTGACGGCATGGGGGCTGAAAGATTAGCGGAAGTCGCCTGGAACTTGCCTGTATTTGGGCATCGTCTGGTCCTCCCGGTTCTGCGCCGTGGATGATCTCCCACAATGCGTTGCGCCAAACACTCATGTGTGGGTCTCACACCGGGTCTCACGCACGTGCACAGAGGGGCTCGGCCGCGCTCTGACCAATCAGAGCAGTTAATCAGAGCGGGAGTTAGAGCGAGAGCCAGACGAGAATAGTTTGTGGCTCTAAAGTGTAGATTTAAAGAAAACCGAAGGATTTAAGAAGAAAAAAAGTCCAGGATGACAAGGGACAGTAAAATCCCCGCAAAAACCTACAGCTTTCATAAAGATCGGATATCTGTCAGCTCAGGTCGCGCTGTTTTAATTTACATTGAGTTCTATGGGGAAAATTTCTGGGTAGCCCACGTGAATTTCTGCAGTACCGCGAGAATCCCCCGAGCACATGAGTTCTTCAGCTCCAAGCTAGTAATACCCTATGCAGTTATTATAATAGATCCATGGGTTTCCCGCATACTTTTTTTCAAGAGACTTGTAGGTAATAAATAAACAGAAAGACAAACAGAATCATGAGAGCCCAAGTTGATTACATTACATTTTTTTTTGGGCATTCTCGCAAGTTTTGGGTTGGAAAATCTTGCCGGCATCCAATCACATACAAGGATTTTTTGACAAGGCCACGCCTTCTGAAATCCAACTGCTATGGAGGAGGTCCAGACGCATGTGAGAAGCGCAGCGAACTACATGGGTCTGGCGAGAGTCAGGCTAGAGGACCACAGTTATGTAAAAGAACGAGCCAAACAACAATCTTAAAAAATAATCATGCAAAAGTCCGACGTCATATAGCAAACTCTCAACATCACAAACCACACGCACCGAAAAGCAGAGTTGACACAACAGGAGGCACATTGTGTAGTTTTTGTACACAACGTGCGCATCTGTGAACAATGCGTAACTTTTTTCACACACCAACAATAATGAGAATGAAGCAGAATCTACAACACGGGTCTCAGGATGTTCGAACTCGCTCCAAGTCCAACTACTATGTCGCAAGTTTCAACTAAACTTATTCAGGGACAAGCGTAAAATAAAACGCACAGAATTCCTGCCAAACAATCGCCAGAATACTTTCACCAGCGTGAGTGAATATTGTGTTTTCTTACCGAGATGGTATGCAGCGCCTGGTGAAAGCATCTAGCTGCAGGTCGGCCACGGCTGTGTCCAAGACAATGTCCTGCACGGACTGCACGGTAAAGGCGCGGCAGAGGCGCAGGAGCGGAAAATCGACGCACGCAGGAGATAAATATTGCTCAACGTTTCCTCAGGACGCTCGTGCAGCGACCAATCAGAGTCACAAAATGGTCACGGGGGGGACATAGGGCTGGGCAATAAATCGAATTTAGGCAATTAATCGGCTTTTGAAAAAATCGAAATCGTGAAAAATTTTAAAATCGTGAAATCGAATGAGGGATATTGTGAGAGTTCCAGCAGCACATGAATTATACTTGCAATATCAGCACAGTCAGTACAAGACTTTTATAATACGTATTGGGGGAAACAAAATCAAAATGGTTCTGGTATTGAGCGGAAAGATCTAAAAATATTTTTAAGGGCAAACTTTAATGAAAATCGATTTAAAATCGAAATTGTCCAAAGCAGGAAATAAAATCGAGATTTTACTTTTTTGCCATATCGCCCAGCCCTAGGGGGACATTAGTGGTCTGAGCGAGCAGACTGAACATACTCGTAAATAGCCAAAACAGAAGCTACACCAGGACTAAACCAGGGTTGACAATGGGGGACTTAGTGCTTGTGAACATATGCGTTTTCATGCTCCCGTGACTTTATGCGACTGCTTCGAGCATGTTTGCCTATGTGCAATAAACATTTGGCGCACCTTCGTGAACACATACTGCTGTTATATAAAGTCTCTGGACACAGAGACGCTGCAGAGCTGCATTATTGGAGAACTTTACACAAAAAGCCGCTAGCTTAACTCCATTAGCATCAAAGTCTGCCCGCTATTTCCGCCACTTCCGGTGCGTGCCACCGCAGGCCAGGACTTCTGGTCTGAAGACTCCTGCGTCTGAAAATAAGAGAATGTGCGTCTGGTGGGCGAGGTGTCAGCGTTCCAGCGTCGGCAGTGTCAAAGCACCTTAATAGATCCACATCGTAAAACACCATTAGAGCCTCTGCAGCGTGTGCCGCTTCACAACGTGGGCTTTGTTTACATGGCGCCTCCGCGCACGTGTGTCAAGGCACATTCGTGGCGCGGTAGTGTTGGGAAGATCCGGTCATTTATCAAACTAAAGGATTCTTTCCTTAGTGGTCCGGTGAATGATCGGGTGTTGGGGACCACTGTCAAACACACACTGTCAAAACACGACAAATGGTCATTGGAGGCTTCCGTAATGTTTGTGGTAGAAGTAGAATCGCATTATATGATCTCAACGTTAGATGGGAGTAAAAATTACACAGTGTAATCTCAATCAGTGCATTGGCAGAAACTGACATGTGGATTTCTTTACTATGTGCTTGGATTTTGGGGCCTCTACTTATGCCAATAGACTCGATGTTTAATGCTCTGTGTTTCTGCTTCATGCTTTTGACAAATCAAGAGCAAACTCTATTTACACTGTGTTCATCCACAGGCCTGTATAGACGACAATGTGGACATGGTGACCTTCCTGGTGGAGCATGGAGCCAACATCAACCAGCCTGACAATGAGGGCTGGATTCCCCTCCATGCTGCAGCCTCTTGTGGGTATATGGACATCGCAGAGTAAGTATATTTGTAATTGAGATGATCAGTGTTTTGATGCATCCTCATGTCAGACCTCAAGACACACCTCTGTTTGAGGATCACCTCCTTGACATAACACACAATGTTACATTTTTTTAATTTTTTGTGTTGAACTTTTTGTATAAAAAGTTATGGTAAACTAAACTACCATAACTAAACTAACTAAAGCTAGGCATACGTGGTGTAGTTTCATGTGATTGTCGGACGTGGTATGATATTCCTGAAACTCTCACTGTGCAAATGAGTTGCATGCGGGGAAAGTGAAGCGAGTGAAAGGCATAAAAATGGCATAAAACTCATAAAAATAAAACTCTAAAATAGAACATTAAGTCTTATAAAATTAATATCGATTTCCAGTTGAGTGTTTCTGTAATTTCATGTTCATAAATAAGTTAATTTCATATAGTTCTAGCTAAAAGGTATATAGGAGGATTTTCTACTTCTGGATGGATCATCAAGACTATTCCATCATTCATCTTCTTCCCCTTAATCCATTTCTGGGTCAGGGGAATTCACAGAGCACCAGCCCCTCACTGATCCTCCTGCAGGTGGTGAGTCCACCGAAGAATGGCTGCTCTGTCTATGAGAGCATAGCCTTGATCTTTCAGAGGGGCTTCAGGCAAAGTGGGGTTAAGTGTTTTGCCCAAGGACACAACGACAGCAGACATCAGCAAGAGTCAGTGGAGAAGATCTCGTGGGGGGCTCGAACCCACAATGTTAAGGCTCAAATGCCAATGCTCTACCAACTGAGCCACTGTCGCCTTTCATCATTAAGACTAGAGGTGCATCGATCAGGAATTTTTTACTTAAAATGTTGACTTGCCGACTATACCGATCATGGCCGATCCAATCAAATATTGATCGTTTTAGTGATGAATGAAAAGGACTAGTTATTCACTTTATAACTAATCTTTTAAAACCATCAAGGCATTAGAAGTATAAATACAATGCATGAGGGATACTCAAGACAAAACAGTTGGGAACCACAAGTATACGTTTACAGAGCATTGAGATACATTAAAAAAATTCAATGAAATACGGCAATACTATAATACAATACAATTATATGTTGCGTTGCATTACTAAACTGATTAAGAAGGGATAGTTAAGGGAATGTTTTTTTCAGGAATATTAGCATCTCAGCATTTGCAGGGGTATTATGTTTTGCACAGAGGCACTATTCTGGATGATAAAAAGTCGCTCGCTGTCTACACGTGCATCGAGTGCAGAAGAAAGCTAGCGCTGCTTTGGCCAAAGGAGGGAAGCGGCTTTTATTTTCCTTCCAATAAAAAAGTGGCTGTTCGCTTCGAGTTGTAACTGGTTTAGCTAGGTAAAGCTGCATAAGCAACACTGTAGGACTGTCTGTACTACCACTACACTCATCTTCCTCCATCATTTCTGTGAACATAGCATGCAAAGTCCCAACACATGATATTTTAGCCTGTGGCTTGGAGTTCAGTGCCTTGCTGCTGAGTGTGTTCGGTGTGCGCCTGCGCTATGTGACTCTGGCTGGGCTTGGACTGTCAATGTGAGAATATACAGTTTAAAGCTGTGGAAGGCAGATATCAGTAAAATATTACTGCGATGGCATATTGAAGCAGTGGATCCATATAAGACATGAGTCGTTTGAAACCAGCGCTTTCCACAATAGATAAGGGCTGGTGTAAGAGGGAAATAAATTCCATAACTTTTGTGCATATTTTGTTTTGTTTCTTACTGTCTTTGCTGTGTGGTTGTTGGCGCTGTAGAGTCTCCGTAACTGATAGCTGCATGAGTTGCTTGTTTACACCATTTTTGACAATAGTAAGTCACTTGTGAGCATGAACCCTCATGTCATATGATCACACAAATTAAGCCATGATCAGCGAATTTATAATTGGTTACCGATCGATCGGTGCGCCTCTAATCAAGACTCTTGGTCCCCCCAGTTGCCAATCATTCTGGTGACACGTGCTCGTTAAATAAGACCAGAGAGTTTTGTTCAAAAAGCGGAGAAGGCGGTTCTTTGGCAAAATTTTGCAAAATCCTTCTAATATACCTTTTAATATGCAACACCAACTATACTTCTTATACTTTGTTTCCACAACACTAATCACCTTGCTTGATAGTATAAGGCAGTGGTTCTCAAACTTTTCACACCAAGTACCCCCTCAGAAAATACTTGCCTCTCCAAGTACCACCACAAACACCACACAGTAGCGTAGTAAGCCGAAGTATTCATCAAAAACAAGGCAGAGGTTTAATTCCTAAAGAAGTATATTTAATGTAATGTTTTACACAGTTTCAACAGTAAGACTGCGCTTAAATATAGGAAAAAATGTTTTTTAAATGTTTCATTCATTACAAACTGCAAAGCCTCACTGTGAATGATATTCTGGAGTGGGATCTTTGTCCACAGAAGGTTTGGACTCTGGTGCACTTTAGTTTCTAAGGCTTGGTCTGCTGCCCTCTTATATCTGTCGTTTACCCACAGAGACATGTTCTTATGGTTTGGATCAAATGATCGTTTGTTGCTCTCTGTTCCTTTTGCACAGAACTGGGAAAAAAAACGTTTGTTTTTGCTGCTCCTTCTACATGGAACGTGTTGCAAAAAGACTAGAAATGATCTTATCTTATTTCCTTGAATGCTTTTAGATCCAGATTGAGACATCTTCAGTGAAATGTAACTTTTTATAATCCGTAATTTTATGAAATTGTGTGTTACTGTTTTATAATCTGTATGTGACCGTTTTATCATCTGTATGTGACTGTTTATAATTGTATGTAATTTTTGAACACGAAAAAGAGGTTCTCATTGACTGCCAGCCATTTTTTGATGACTTCACTGAATTTTAAGACTCACAGAATATTGTGTGCTATGAAAAATATGAAACCAGAGTCTGAAAGACAGGACTGTCTACTTTCAGCAGCAAAAAGAAGTTTGTTCTTAGTTTGTTTCGTTTTCCTGTGATCTCCAGTCAAAAAGAGGGAAGTGTGACAAAAAGCACCAGTCTTAGACAAAAAAATTAGAAAATGAGGTGTTTGTGAAAACAGACGAACTGCAGAAAAGTGATTGTAAAACTATTTAGTATGGCTTTAGCATCTCCTCAAACATGTCCAGGATCTTACATGTTAGAAAACAGCAACAACACATTATGAGAAAGTGTTTTTGATGCAAAATAATACGTTTTATCGCACACACTCACATCCACAAAGTGTTGCTCAAATATTTCAAAATGTACTCATCCAAAAACTGTCAAAATGTACATATTGAAAGTAGAGCCCATGACAAACTCTGGCAGATAGAATGGCCAGTATTCATCCATTAGGTGGCACTGTAATTATGTCAATAAGAGTAAATCAAAGAATAACAAAATTACAATGATAAACACTATACATGACAATGAATCAAAGTGAATACTTATAATTATAGTATAAGTGCAATAGAATACTGCTGTGTGTCTTTGTGTGTTTGGGCGTGCATGTATGTGCGTTAATGCACACGTTTGTGTGTTTTTGTGTGGTTACATCTACAGAGCGTCTGTTTAGTCTGTGACCATAATTGGACTTTGCTGCTGGCTCCTGGTGTTGACTCAGTGATAGTTTTAGCAATAGTCCACTTTTCTGTGGCTTTTTTGGGGTGCTCTGCTGGTCTGCTGCTCTGACCCTCCACATGGTCTGCTGCTCTGACCCTCCACATGGTCTGCTGCTATGACCCTCAACATGGTCTCTGTCAGCTCTGGAGACACATTTACTGCTCAAACTGCCTCCAAATGTAGCCTGACCCTGACTATATTACTCCATGTCTGCTTCACCTCTGTCTCTCCTGCTCAGAGTGCTCAGAGTGATCTTTGACCAAACCAGGGAGCTCTGCTGCCACCTGCTTGTTTAATAAAATACTGTCTACAGCCAAACCCCAGACTGTATGATACAGGGGACACAGACTGACAGGAAAAGCTTGAAAAACAATGTTGTCCTCAATTGACATCCATGGCTGAGAATGAGTTAATCTCAATGGGACTTTCCTGGTAAAAAAAAAAAATATATATATATATATTTTTTTTTTTCACAGATTTTTTTCACAGATTCTATGGCGTACCCCTAGAGGGCGCCCGCGTACCACTAGGGGTACCTCAGTTTGAGAAACGCTGGTATAAGGAATACTCTTCATTAATCCCATACTTCAGGTGTATAAATTAAGAGCGAGCCATTCTAGTTATGGAGCCAATTTTGCACAACAATTTACTATCTTTTGTTTTTTGGAGTCTGTATTTTTTTTTGGTGCTGGATTTGTCTTTGATTTAAAGACTTTTAATTCATACTATGCCATTTGCTTTTTTATTTTCATTTTAGATTTTTAATTGTCCAAGGGGCAAATGTGGGAGTTGTAAACAGTGAAGGTGAGACGCCTCTCGACATCGCAGAGGAAGAAGCAATGGAACAACTCCTACAAAATGAGATCAACCGACAAGGTAAAGCTATGAGTGACATTGTACTTGTGAGCATAACGGCAAGAGCTCTGGTGTGTGCTATCCTCTGTCTGGTGCACACTGGGGTAGTCTTGCAAAAAAGTTCTTGAATGTGCTCCCACTATTGTTACATACAAATAATGGACTGTTCACCGAATTAAATAATTGATTTTAACGTTGTGTGATCAAATAAAGTAACAAATTTGGTTTAAAAAAAAAAAAAAACCCTAAGCCACCACTACTCATTTGAATATGTTGTCTCTCAATGGGGTCTGAATAACCCTGTAAAACAAGCTCTCATTAAATATTACCTTTTTCAGTCAAGATACAAATTGCAACGTAACACTGCAGAGGTAAAGTGGCTCACAGGAGGTCAATGCTCTGCCCCTGTGTTTGTGCAGGCTCGTGAACAATCAGAAGGATCATCTTTGTACTATGTTTTTAGTCACAAAATGTTTAAAAAGAAATGTCATAGATTGAGAAACAAAGGTGAGCGGTGTTAATAGTGGTAGTTCTTGCAGACTGAGCTTCAGCGTTTCCTTTATGTAACTGAAGGGGATCCAGCTGTGTGTGACCTCTCATGTGGCTGATCTAAACCTGTAATGCTCAGCCGCTCTATTTTAGGTTTGGGCATTCTTGAAAATATTAAAGCCCCTCCCCTTGGCTGTGGGTGGCTCATGGTTGTGTTTACTGGCTAAAAGCCAAAGAACTGTACCTTAGCTCACGTCCATACGTTACCTGAATTTCACAATGGAAACACGACCATTTTCATTGATCGTTTAATGCCGGAGACTTTTGGATTCCTTTAACACTGAATTCCAACCTCTGTCTCTAAACTATACGATTTGCAAGACTGGGGCTTGTTCCATTCAATCATATGAGGAACTTGGCATTTAAGCTTACTTTGCGAGGATAATGGAATGAACTGAAGAGTATATGTGATTATAGTGAGCCCAGAATATGCAGACAGTCCTCTGCTCTGTTCTAGAGTTAGAGGGCAGTGTTATGCAACGGGCAATTGAGTAATAGTGATGTATGCGTAATATTTTCTCTCTGAGATGCTCATCAGGTTAAATTTATTAAGCAACGATCTTGCGTTCCCATCAGCAACCAGTAAGCATCACTGCAATGCCCTCATTGACCGTTTAGATAAAAGGACCAACAGTCTCTCTTTGGCTCATGTTGTCACAAGAGATGTGTATGTTTTGAAATACATGTTTTGGAAGTGTTATTGGGGAACATATTTCAATTTTGAGTACTTTCCGGTACATAATATATAATAAAAACAACTTTATATATTTTGTCAATTAATTGCAAAATGGGATCTTTGATTGAGTGTATTGTTGTATAACCCTAAATCACAACAGCAGTTGTTCCAGGGGGACTTTAAAAGGTTGTCGAGATATATATTTTTGAAATCAAATATATAACTGTTAAACCTTGTCTATGCAATGGTTTGGGTCTGTTTATATCCATCATGTGAATTCAGTTAGCAGTGCTCCGAAGTGCTTTATTCAGAAGCCCCAGTCTCCACTACCAGGAAGAGATGAAACGTTATTCTTTCCTGATCATTTTTACCTGCCTCAAAAATTATATACATTTTTGATGTTCACGTTTGAATGTTTTGGATTGACCGTATTTCTATTATTCACAGCATTACCTTGATTCATCCAACAGTGAGGATTCTTAATTTACGATCGAATTGTACATTATAAATGTATTCTGTAGGAATGTACTTTGTCTGGAACTAGAGAGAACCTGCGTTTTTAGTTTAAAACGTGGAATAATCGGGCTGATTCTGATTGTCCCCAGTCTTTGAGGACTATCCAAACATTAAACGTACTCGTGCTGTGTTCCTCTCTCTCGTATGTTTGGATCAGGGGTGGACATTGAAGCCGCTCGAAAAGAAGAGGAGCGTGTCATGCTTCGAGACGCACGACAGTGGCTCAACAGTGGCCAGATCCACGATGTCCGACACACAAAGTCTGGAGGAACAGCGCTCCATGTCGCTGCTGCTAAAGGATATGTAGAGGTTTTAAAGTAAGCTTAATTAGATTTTCTGTGCACCAATTCAATCATGCTCACATGCAAGAACATGTCTTAATAATTATGCCACATTGCCTTTTCTACAGACTTTTAATTCAAGCGGGGTATGATGTAAATATTAAGGACTACGATGGCTGGACTCCTCTTCATGCTGCATCTCACTGGGGCAAAGAGGAGGCCTGTCGGATACTGGTAGAAAACTTGTGTGACATGGACCTCATTAACAAAATGGTGAACTTTTACTCATGTGCAAGTCATTTCTGTTCCAATTGTCCAAACCTATAACTCCATTTATGGTCCTTTGGCGTAGGGTCAAACGGCTTTTGATGTAGCAGATGAGGATGTCCTGGGATACTTAGAAGAACTACAAAAGAAACAAAATCTAGTAAGGAAGCCTTGCTAAAACAAACTGTTTGTTTGCTATATTTGGTTTTCACAAGTGTATTTCTTTAAATATAGTTAATGGGTGAGAAGAAGGATACTAAAAAGTCTCCGCTGATTGAAACGAGCACCACAGGAGACAACAACCAATCACTAAAACCACTGACGAGGTAATAATTATGCCCTGAAAATGACACCCTTTAGAGCTGCAGTCATAGGGTTATGAACCTTTTCAATGCACTTACCAGCAAAGAAACCCTCCTAAGTGAGCCGGAGAAGACTGCCCTTCGAATTGAGACTCTCGAACCAGAGAAAGTGGATGAAGAGGACGAGGGGAAGAAGGACGACTCTAGCTGCTCCAGTGAAGAAGAGGATGAAGAGGATTCAGAGTCGGAAACAGAAGCAGGTGCACTGTGTATTTATGACCACCCACTATATAATGCATTTAGATGTGTTCTTACAGTTTACTTTGTTTTCATGAATAGAAAAGAGCAAGCCGACAGCTGTGGTCAGCAACAGTACACCTACGCCGTCTGCTGTCACTGTCTCACCTCCTACAAGCCCAACCAACCCGGTGACAACGCCCACATCACCAGTGAAAAAGGTATGTACATTTACTGACACTCAAGATTAATGTGGCTCATTGCCCAAAATAGAAAAAGCAAACTGACCAGCAAATCCAAGCAAGAGCTTGTGACTACATTAAGACATTTAAAAATGCATATACCCTCCTTATGTATCCACTCAAAGTTGTTTATAGAGTAATTCATGCATGTTTAATTTGAGCGGGGTTAAAGGTGTCTTTGTCTCTGTCAAAAATATAGGGATGTCTCAATCCAATCTTCTGATCGGTATTGGGCCGATATTTCATGGTTTGTGAGTGATCTGGTATCTGCTAAACTGCCCGATCCACCCGCCCGATCTTTACAGCTATTGTCGTTCAGTAGCAGTTGTTTACTGTAACTGCGCACGCAATCATTTAAAGCTCAGTTACGGTACAAATTCATGTGCTGTTTACACAAGGACGCTGGGACAGTAATACGATAGAGTTGTGTGTCAAAATGGCCTTTTGGTTACACAAAAGCGGTGTTGGTTAAAACATGTCAAAAGACACGTGTGGCAGTTTTTCTCATTCGAAAACGAGGACAGCACAAAAGCAACGTATGCAACTTGTGGATTGGGAAAGGTGGGAGCAGCAGAGCTACAGTCAACACAACAAATCTCAATCAGCATTTGCGGAATAAACTTAAAACGGCATACAGCGTTGTGTAAATCTACTGAAGGGAATGTTCAGCTAAAAGTCTTTTAAATTTGGCGTTCAGACGTCTGTCCCATGTCTTTACTCGGCTTCACTACACACTGGTGTGATCATTCAACTTATGATTTAAAGCTTGCCGTAATGCTTGTCAGTAGTCCCATACAGCTGACCGCGTTTAGCACTGTTTAACTGTTATGTGAATATTTGATACCTTTGTTATAGCTTTGTTACTGTACCAACCGAGAGTTCTTTATTCCTTACTTTTGGCAGAAAGAATAAATTGAGAATCGTTTAACTTCTTTCATTTTTCATTACAGAAATTACTAGCCATACAAATCAATGTAATCAGTCTTGTAAAATATTGAGTTTACTTGCTAAATGTTTTGTTTTATAATTCACAATACCAATGATCATAAGCATTGGATTGGGACTCTGGATCAGATCAGATTTGAAGTTTAATAATCGGATCGGAAGCAAAAAATAGTGATTGAGACATCCCTACAAATATCTTTACTACCATGTCCTCATTTTTCACTTCTGCTTGTATGTATTTTTTACTTTTGTGCTTTATTTTGTTTCAAATAACAAAGAGCTGCATTTCAAGTGCTTGCCTTGTGCTGTCATGTAACATAAAGGGAAAGGGGAATATTTTATTACAAATGTTATATATTCTAATTATTTCACTAATGATTCACAATATTGCCATGTTTGAGCACAAGGGTGTCCACAAGTGCACATGGCACCAGGGCACCCTAGGCCGGAGGTCGATGATCGACTTTGTTGTCGTATCATCTGACCTTCGGCTGTCCAGTACCGGCAGGCCAAGCGTGCCGCGGCCCGGGCTGTTGCAGAGGCAAAAACCCGGGACTGGGAGGAGTTCGGAGAGTCCATGGAGCATGACTATCGGCCGGCCCTGAAGAGATTCTGTCCGGCGACTCAGGAGGGGGAAGTAGTGCTTTGCCAACACCGTGTACGATGCGGGTGGAGAGCTGCTGACCTCAACTGGGGATATTATCGGGCGGTGGAAGGAATACTTCGAGGTTCTCCTCAATCCCCACTTCACGTCCTCCGTTCCGGAGGCAGAAGCTGAAGATTTTTGAGCGGATACTTCCATTTCCCTGGCTGAGGTCACCAAGGTGGTTGGCAGCCTCCTTGGTGGTAAGGCTTTGGGAGTGGATGAGATCTGTTCTGACTTTCAACTCTGCTGTTTGCGGATGATGTTGTTCTATTGGCTCCAACGAACCAGGACTTGCAGCATGCATTGGGATGGTTTGCAGCCAGCTGGGATGAGAATCAGCACCTCCAAATCTGAGGCCATGGTGCTCGACCGGAAAAAATTGCCCTAGTACCCTCTCCGGGTGGGTGGAGTGGTCCTTCCTCAATTGGAGGAGTTCAAGTATCTCAGGGTCTTGCTCACGAGTGAGGGAAGGATGGAGTATTGACAGGCGGATCGGTGCAAAGTGCTATCTATCTTCGTTCCCTCCCTCAGCTATGGTCATGAGCTTTGGGTAATAAGACCCAGGACACGCTAGAGGGACCAGGGAAGTCTGGGCGTCTCTGCTTAGACTGCTGCCCCCGCGACCCGGCAACGGATGAAGCGAAAGAAAATGGATGGATGATTCACAACGGTCATAAATCATCACTATGACAGACTAAAGCACCATAAGTCTTTGCTTAGATATCTGTTGATTTCATCTTTCTGCTGCCATACCATCACTTCAACACTCACACGCATCGTTCATCTAACTTTCAACAATTCTATTGGTCTTTATTAATGAGCACAATGCTTATGGATGTTGTCATTAGAATATCCTCTAATGCAATGTTTTTAGATTGCCTTATCATAGCTGAGGCATGCCTCAGTGTGTTCATGGCAATCATGTTCTCCCTTCATGAGGACACTGCCCTCTGCTGTCTATCTTAACTTAAAAAATATGGATGGTGTATGATTACTCCCAAGGAAAACAAAACAAATATGCAAGCAACTGTTCAAATTAGATATTAAGATACATGAATGAAATAGAATTCTAATTTGTCAACTGCTACTAGTATAGTTTAAGTGATTTCAGTCAATCATCTTTATGCATAAACTTATTTATATAGTACTAATTGCTCTGTTGCAGCTAGCATTCATTATGTTTCCTTTTGCTACTTTGCTATAATGTAATTTGCTTCTGCTTCTTTGTTTATTGTGGCCTTTTCTGTTTCCATTGTCCTTCACTCTCACTGCATTTCTCTTTGATCTGGGCTCTTGCCTTGATTGGCTGTAGTTTGAATGTAACACTCTCCCCATGCCTGTGGCGGGGCCCGGCTGTCCAGCATTGTGGCGCCAGGGCTTGCGCAAAACTGGCATTTCTCTTGGTCCAAAAAAACCTATGGTGAGGCTTTGGTGTGCACTAGTACTGTCTTTGTTCATGCTCTGTGCACTGAGTCCTAACACCCGTTTACCACTGCGCTCTGATCCAAGCGATGATGGTGGTGTTCCTGTATGCAGATTTGCACTCATTTACCCCAGTGTTGTTTTCTCTCTAATATGAACTTGCACTGTGGTATTTTTTTGTTCATTTCGCAATTATCATTTAAACAAGTGTAATATTATTAACAGCTCCATGCATCTTAATTTTACCTCAAATCCTTAAAAAATGTCCATCCTATTTGAGAACTGCATGTTCTTGTGAATTAATGCCTTTTATAACAGGTGTGTCTAAAGCATGTTTCATTGTTCAACTAAATGATCTCACTCGGCCTCTTGTTGAGTTTTTCGAACCCTCAAATATCATCACACTTTTTCCCAGGTTGTTCAGCCTGCTGGTAAAATATCTCCTAAAGTGGAAGAGGAGAGAAAGGATGAATCTCCAGCATCTTGGCGCCTGGGTTTGAGGAAGACTGGCAGCTACGGGGCATTGGCTGAGATCACAGCCACAAAAGAAGCCCAAAGAGAGAAGGACACGACAGGAGTGATGCGCTCTGCATCGAGTCCTCGTCTGTCCTCCTCTCTGGACAATAAAGATAAAGAGAAGGTCTGCTATACTATTCTCATAGCCACTAAAATAGATTTGTGGTTTGTACAACAGAGAATGATTGTGTATCATTTATTAAGGAAAAAGACAAAGGAACCAGACTTGCTTATGTGGCTCCCACTATTCCAAGAAGATTGGCGAGTACTTCAGATATAGATGAGAAGGAAAACCGGTAAGCCCTGATTTTTTTGTCTGATGCATACACATGCACTTTCACAAGCTCACTGCTGCTCTGCATGACTGAGCCTCATTATATTGTTATGAATCGAACAACAGAAAAATATTGCATGATTATGTCACATTGAGTGTTTTGTGAAAAGAACTTGGGATACTATTGTAGCTTTCGGTTTCATAGGGATTCTAGCACAAACCTAATACGCAGTGGCTCCTACACTCGGAGACGCTGGGATGATGACCTGAAGAACAATGAAGGAACCACCTCCACCAACCGAACCTCCAGCTACCAGCGCAGGTTAGCTCCCGGGCATTTCATCACTTTGATGTAGTACTACTATAGTACAATGGTTATTAGCAAGCCATTTTAATAATAATTATTGCTATTCATAACTTCTTCTTAATTGAACAGTTCTTGAACCAAGAACTTTTCACATCTGAAAAGAATCTTTCTGCCCATTGATTGTGTTGCAAGATTGTCACAGTTGCACTAATATTTAAGTGTGAAACGCTATAGCTCTTCAAATGCACAGCTGTGTGTTTTTTTTATGTGTTCATATTTTCTGTGTGTGCCACGCTAACAAATGTTCCTTGCCACCCACCTGCAAACACTACAGCACGTCTCATACGCTAGCGCTAGGGCGCAGCGGCAGCACGCGGGACGTGCCGGCCAAATCCTCCTCCACCTCCAGCTTGGACCCTAACACCTGTAGTACTAAACCCTGGCAGCCTCCCACCTCTTACTACCAGCCTTACAGCATTTACCGCAGGTAGAGCCCCACGCGCCTCATCCTCACACTGTTCTCTCTGCTGTCATTGCCTTTTATGTTTCACTGCTCGTCATGTTTAATTGAGCCTAGTAGAGGTGCACCCATCAGGATTTTATAAGGCGGAGAAGTTGTGATTGACTGCATTGCCATTGATACTTCATTGAGACAAAGTAGGTGGGGCTAAGTGGGCTGTTCTTTTGAGAGATATGTGGATTTTTCTTATTGCATGCGTAATCACATTGATATGTAAGAAATTATATAAGCGGAGGAATGTGTGTACAAACACAAACTGCATGCCCATGGCTCGTGTGTATGGCTTTAGCCAAAAAGAGATTATGCACTGAACCTGGAATTGATGCATTGTAAGTGTTTATTACAAACTTATATTTCTCATATAGCAGAATAAAACAAACAAGATACATGATTTGAAAAATACTCTTTGAAAAGTGGTTGTTCAAAGTATTGTGCCGCTGGTGACTTTATCACATACTCACAGTGAAGCTGTTGGTTTATACACACTGATGAAAGAACACGGGAAGAAGCAAGGGAGAAGTGAAAAGCCACGCACGTGTTTGCGCTTAATGAGAAGCACGGAGCAGGGGGTCTTAATTTTTTTAAAGGGGAAATGTGATTCGTTTGATCTGCACATTTTGATTGATATTTCCCCTAATCACCCGGTCATGATCGGTGACCAAACAATTGGTGCACCTCGAGAGCCTTATCTTAGCTGCCACATAGGTTTTGTAAGATGTTTCCATAGTATGTGGTGCATGAAACAGTCTGAATATGAATATAGATAATGTATATTTATTTTGGGTGCTCTGGTGAACCCTTTCTGCATACTTTTAGTCTTGATGTTGAATGGCACAGTGCAACTATATTCAACATTTGACCATTGTTGAAAGTAATATGACCAATTTACAAACTATGTTCCAACAGTGGCTCATTTGGAAGGAGACAAGAGGACTCTAGTTCCTCGACCACTTTGTCGTCAACCACAACCACCACCTCATCCGTTACCTCACCCACAGGCCACAGAAGCCTGCTCTCTAGTCTGGGGTCGTCCTCAGCTCGCACCGGCTCCACAAGTCTCACCAGCAGGTACAATAGGGTTTTTGATCATCTTGGTCTTTTTCTGCATTTTGTTACAGGTTTTGTTGTTTTTTAGGTACTGGCCAGAGGAGAGTGTACAGAGAGAAAAGGAGAAGGAGTCTGCTGCAGTTATTCCAACTATAAACACTGGGTCAACTACAACAGTCACATCAACCACTACCACAAGCAACATTTCTACCACAACCACCGGCACTGGCACAGGCCCAGAGCGACGAAGGTGAAGGAAATTAATGTCTTGTTCTTATGGGGGAATTACTTGTTTTGATGCCATTTTGGTAAATTCTCGAGTTAACTTGGTGGTGCATAAAAGAGAAAGGAGTGGGGTCGAGTAGTGCAGCTTCCTGAAGCACTGAAATAAGCCACCTGTTTTAAAGGGACTGCTTCTGAGCCTGGACTGCACTATGAGTTTGCCTTAAATGGGCCACATTTCCTTCAAGGCCAAGGCCTCACATTACACTAAAAAGGTTCCAATGACTAATAGGATTATGCAGTTTTGACTGCTGAAAGTGCAAGTCCACCTCTATTTACCATAAAGTTATCCTGTAAGAAGACGCCATGTGGTAATATTTTTTTAAATGTTGCATTCAAGGTAGGCTGCATTTTAGTTTAATTAAAGTAAGTTTAATTAAAGTAAGCCCCTGTTTTTGGGGGCGACAGTAGCTCAGTTGGTAGAGCATTGGCCTTAAGCCCAGAAGGTCGTGGGTTCAATTCCCACCTCTGCACCTTCTCCACCGACTCCCACTGATGACTGCTGTCGTTGTGTCCTTGGGCAAGACACTTAACCCCACTTTGCCCAAAGCCCCCACTGAAAGATCAAGGCTATGCTCACACTCACCACCTGCAGAGGGTCAGTGAGGGGCTAGTGCTATGAGACTTGGGTGGCATCTCTGACTGTCACCCCCCTGACCCAGAAATGGATTAAAGGGTAGAAAATGGATGGATGGATGGATAAAGTAAGTTTATTTCAAATGTATCTAAACATTTTAACGCTCTTTAAAATGTACCTATGCCTAACTTTGTACATACCGGATATGGACCCGAGACTATTTTGTTCGGACCGCTTAGTTTCCCTTTTTATTGGGAAGCACTCTCACACCCTACACTCTGTGAGCGAGCTTAGTGCAGCAAGTCCACACACACCTCTCGTCGAAGTAGAATTTTAGCCTTCCTCATATACATGCACTTCTACTTCTACTGTATGTCAGTTTAGGTTATTGATTTCACGCTCACAGGGACAACTTGTAAGCACATGTGCAAGTTTTTCATTAGCTGAGGTGATGCTTTTTTGAGCAGAAGTTCTTCTAGACATGCAAAAATATTTGCCTATGGAGCAGAACATTTTAGTGTTGTTTCAAGCGGTATAATTGCAGGGAATTTCAATTGCAAATTCGATTTAATGCAAAATGTATGTAATATACTTACAATTATGCTCATTGTTCATGTTGTAATTATACAGATAAAAAATGTTGCCTGAAAAGGTACTATGACGTTTTTTTATTATTACAAAAAAATATTTTTAATATTATTAATGACAACACAGTGCACCTGAGAACAAATTGGCAGCGTTTTTTATTCTTTCTGTTTTCTTAGGTCTTATCTAACACCAGTGCGAGATGAAGAATCGGAATCCCAGAGAAAGGCTCGTTCCAGACAAGCCAGACAATCGAGAAGGTCCACACAGGTTAGACCCTTTTCATACTTAAAATCAGATCACAGAACTTGAACAAACATCAAAATAAAAAAGACCAGTGGAAGCAATGCAGTTTACGTTTTGTGAAAATACAAAAGGGTTTTCACAAACAACGATACAACTGAAATTATGTTGGTAATCAGTAATTGCTGAAAATTGCTCAAGAAGGAAAAGTTGTTTTCAATACATTACACACATGTTTTTTTTTGTCTCACTCCCATTTATTCTTTTTCATTTTTAAAAGTCCTCCAGAGCCTGGCGCCAACAATGTCAACAGAAAAATTGTTTTATGGAGTATATATTAATGTATGGAACATTTATATTTATTTTGTTCTTATTTAAGGGTGTAACACTGACTGATCTTCAAGAAGCTGAAAAAACAATAGGTAGAAATCGTCCTTCAACAAAAACGCAAGAGGAGAAGGAGGAGAAGGATGAGAAGGAAAAACAAGACAAGGAAAAGCAGGAGGAGAAGGAGACGGAGACCAAGGAGGAAGACTATAGATCCAAGTACCGCAGTTTTGATGAGGTACTTCTTCAATGCTTATATTATTGCTGTGACAATCAATTTGATTCTACTTCTAATTCTTTTTTTTTTTCATTTGCCCCAGCGTTACCGGACTCCATCCTCAACTTCAACCTCCAGCCTTTCTACAATTGGCACCACCTCATCGTCCTACTCCAGCTCCCTCAACAGACCAAACAGTCTGACTGGGATCACCTCCTCCTACAGTCGCCCCTACAGAGACACAGAGAAAGGTAATGAGCAGAAAGACAAAACATTTATCACTTTCGTTTGATTTCCTTTCATAGTCGTGTATGTACCATCTTTTGTTTATTTAAACAAAAATATGGCTTGCAGTAGTATTTTTCTAAAAAGGATATATTAATTATGTGACATCAGAGCCCTCCAAAGTCTGTATAGTTTAAATTTGTGGTTGAGGGTAAATCTTTACTAGTGACCATAGTAACGTTTTAGTTTATATCTAGTTGTCATTCCCGGGCCAATCCACATGTAGGCGGCACGGTGGCTGAGTGGATAGCACTCTCGCCTCTCAGCAAGAAGGTCCTGGGTTTGAATCCCGGTTGGACCAGGGCCTTTCTGAGTGGAGTTTGCATGTTCTCCCCGCGTCTGCGTAGGTTTCCTCCGGGTGCTCCGGTTTCCCCTACCACTAAAAATATGTACAATAGGTCTGGCATGTGCCTCCTGTACTGGCACCCCCACTCCCAAAAATAACAATTGTAAACCGCTTTGAGACTGTGCAGTGAAAAGGCGGTATATAAATAAAGATTACTTACTTACTACTTACATGTAACAAAACTGTCACAAAGTTCCACATCTTCTTTGTCAGTACACATCAACTAAGGCCTAATTTTTTTTAGTGAAAAGTTTTAGAAGTAGTGACAATATGAAAAATATGGCCACTTTATGAATCAAGTCACTATCAAAGACGTTTTCCCCTCACATTTTTTTTTTTCTTTTTTATAAAATTGCTGCTTTCCCGTAAAGTTGTATTGGCACCACTTTTCACAACCTATTGTCTCATTTGGTATCGATACTCTGGAGCTGGGTGCATTGACACAAATGGAATTGGCTGGCTTGGCCCCTTATCCCTGCTGTGGAAGACTAGAGCAGTGAGAGACATAATGCCTCCAGCGTGCCTTCAAAAGACTTGATTGTTTTTGAAAAACGAGTTTGTATCATGCACGTGTTTGTATTTAACCATTGTTCTGAAATTTAGAAATCGAGAAGAAGGAGGAGGATAAAGATGGAGAGGATAAATCTCAACCACGCTCTATACGGGATCGCAGGCGGCCCCGAGAGAAGCGACGATCCACTGGGGTCTCATTTTGGACCCAAGAAGTAAGAACTGTTTTTTTTTTATTTTTACAACAAGCCTTTGTATCATTTTGCTTCATCTACATTTTCTTTCAAGCATACAATTGGTAATTGACAGTAATCCTAGTAATTATTTAAACAGTATAATATATAATTGTGTAGCACTGAAAAGAGTCTGTTCTATATAATCCATGATGTGGTTGTATTTATGCCCAAAGAACCTGCTTCTTCTGGACATGCCAAATGACTACATCTCGCTGATCTCACCAACACCAAAATGACCAAACATGTGCACAGTGCGACCCCTGCAGGATTTCTCCTAGTTATGCTTAAGCCATTGCTTACCATTTTTTACAGGAACAGTTTTTCAAACTAAAGTCCTGCATCTTCATAAATATAAGACCCCTAACTCCGCCTTGAATTGCAGGGTGATGAAAACGAGCCGGAGCGGCATTCGGATTCAGAGGAGGGCAGCACCAAAGGGGACTCTCAGGTACCTTCCCACACAGACACCCTGATCAAGATTAAACTTTAAACTGGCTGTTCTCAAGTCGGAGCTCTTGATCCAGCTCTTGATCCAGCTCTTCTCTTTTCATGTTTTATTTGAGGTGATCTTTGCCCAACATCATGTCTTTGGGTAATATCACTGTATAATGTGCTATGAGACCAATAAGCATGGCAAATGCACTTTAAATGGGATATTACTTGTAGTAAATATAAATATATATATACAAATATAAATAAATATATACAAAGTAATCTAGCTTTACAATTTAGATGGAATTTTGTGTATTTATTCATGCAATTGTGTATTCATGTTCTGATAGAAACTGTTAGAAAGCTCTAATGTGTATTAGGCCCATTAAATTCAACTTTATTACAAACTCTAAATCTTTTTTAAAACAGAAAAAAACGATACTAAACAAAGAGACAAACTGTTATGACTTTCACAGACAGCCATAGCAGTGTCTCCACATCGAGTTGCACTGAACTTGATGTTTGTCAGTGCAATTTTTTTTCTTGTTCGACAGATGAAATTTTAGGCTCAGCACAGCTTGTAAAATGTTCACTCATGAGGTGACAAGAGCTCAGACGCACTAATCTAAGGTGCACTTGAAAAAACTTCATTGTAAGCCACCTGCTGCTTATGCAGACCGGGTCTTTTGTAGTTAGTCCCACAGGTGGGCCATTTACAGCGGTACACCGCTGTAAATGGCCCACTTAAAACAGTTGAAACTTGACATCATTTGAATAAAAGACAAACTTGCGCATGAAAACTTGTGAATGCGCCTGATCATGATCAGACTCAGAACTGATGTAAAGCAGCGTCCGCGAGCCTATTTTTTTTGGGCTAATCCCAACCACATTGTCCTGAAACATCTAATGTACCACTGTGTGCAGACAAAGTTTCCAATCGCACTCCCAGTTGTATATGATTTAAGTCACGTAGACAATTCATCCATGTCTAAACACAACTGGGGACAGAATACGCGCTTGTCTTGTCCTTTTTCCAGCTTTAAATGATGCAGATTCCCTTCTTTGACAAAACACACAATATTTAATACACAATATACATGGGCACACCTCTCTGGATAAGCTTCATAAACAGTGTCTTGTGATTCACTCGACCGAAGACCAACAAGACTCAACATTTTTTTGAAAACTACTACAATAATGAAGTCTCTAACGCTTTATCCCAAAATACATTTAAATTATATTAATATAATTAATATAATCTGTCATGTTGGTTGTTTTTGTTGTGTAAAAACCTTGGGGTGGCTTTGTCCTGCTTGTACCATGGAGATATTTATGTGACGCATAATCTTTAAAATGTTTTAATTGTATTCTGTGTTTTCTTACAGATTGAAAGATTGGGGAGGTAAAGCATTTTTCTTTATTTAAATTTTTGTACTTTTCAAAAATAACAATGGCAATTTACAAAGTGCTTTTTCTTCCAGAAATGAAACTAGCACTTCATGTTTAGACCGTAATGATGCTTTTAGTAGCCGTAGCTATGAAAGTCGAAGACCATACTCGAGCCGACATGATAAAGATGACTCCACAGACTATAGAAAGGTAGGAGGCTCTCTGTTCACTACTTAATGTTATGATATATCTGTGTACTGATCTATGTGTGTGTCCGACAGCTCTATGAGCAGATCCTGGCTGAGAACGACAAGTTGAAATCCCAGTTACGAGACACAGACTTGGAGTTGACAGATTTAAAGATCCAACTTGAGAAGGCAACACAGGTATATTGGCCTCTGTCCCAAACCATCATATATTTCACTTTGGAGTCATAAACATTGTCACTTTACTAACTTCAACTACACTGTTTATTGTTCTGTTTAAACTGTATATTTTATGTAAGTAGGTTGCGTTAATGTGATATCACAACACTCCAAACACAGAGCCTAAAGTTTAAAATTGCTTCTGAAAACTCTTTCCAGGTCGCAGTTAAAAGACAGATTTCTAGTTTAGAGCTCTTTTCTGATATTCTAATTCAAGGACCAATCCACATGAAACGGTGACATTTGGTGCATGAATGGTGAAGCCCGATTTAACAACAGAAAAGACTGGGGCCAAATAAGCTATTTCATTCTGAGCCTTCCTTCCAGGTTAGCATTATTTTTGCATAAATTAAATATATGGTCCACATTTACACCTTTGCTTTTTGCATCAAGCAAAAATTATAACATTATGCGTTAAGAGCCATAGGACAAAATCAAACTGCTCCCTCTTATGTCAAGACTTCTACTACCTGAGGCTCCGGTTTCAGCTTTGGTGGGGACACAAATTTAACTTTAAAAAAATATATATATATTCACATCCTGACTGGGAAACAAACTCCGGCCGCAAAACTGGGGGTGTCCAATCCTAAACACGGGACCATATGCAAGTGGATAGTAAAGGGCGATGACACTGACCCCTCATAAATAATTGTGATTTTCGGACATTTGCTTTTTCGGGGTCAACAAATTGATTATTTTCCCTTTTACACTTTGCAGAGGCAAGAACGATATGCTGACCGGTCGCAGCTAGAGATCGAGAAAAGGGTAACGTCAAAAAGTCACACCTTTCTTTATTGTTTTTATTTTTTTATAGACATTTTTCAAAAACTGCTTTAAACATTGACATTTTCTTTAATTGTATCGTGATGATTGTTACATCAAAAATGCATTCAGCCTCTCCGAGTGCACCGTTAGTATAACATTCCATATGAATTTATGTCTGAAGGTCACAGGCAGACCCCAATATCATCTGGGTATGACTTAGTTTTAGCTGTGTATGAGACGCTCTGCTGCTGGCTGCCATGTTGCCCACGCCCATGTGCCTGGGTGTGCCATGCTCTTCTCTGCCCAGGACACTGCCACCTTCTTCCCACTCTGGTTTTATCTGAGGGAGTGTGGTCACAAACATAGTCGACGTGTTTTCCTGTGTGTGTTGCGTTGACTTGCTTGTGTTGTTTCGGGCAAAATAGTTGTTGTTTGAGCACAGATCTTGACTCTTACTTCACTTTGTTGTTTTCATTGAGAATTTTAACTTGTATGTTTCAAAAGATGTGTTATTATGTTCTTTTCCCCCCTTCCAAAATAACTAAATAATCTCCTAACCCCATTCATTAATTCACATTTAATTTATTGGAATTCCTATTGCAGTTCCCAAGTAAGCTTCCCAATTTGCTCATTTCCAACCTTGAAAAGACATTTTTACACTTCTACTTCTAACCTTTGATTATATTATATAACTATCACAAATGATCCCTGGTCTCAACTGGCTGTTGCCTGCTCACACTTCACGAGTGTTTTCAACTGAGTGCTCCACACTGCGTGTGTGTGTGTGTGTGTGTGTGCATGTATGTTTTTGCTTATTTCAAAAACTTTTTCTCTCTCAATATTCAGGAAAGAAGAGCTCTCGAAAGGAAGATATCTGAAATGGAGGAGGAACTTAAGGTATTTCTGCTCACATTACTTTTGTTGTGGTTTAAAAACATATGATGGTACCTGATCGATTAGTTAAGATATAATTATAACTTTACTTTGATGCAGATTTCTATTAATAACAGTGAAACGAGGGAAAGTAGAAATTATCTCTAAAGCATGAAGTTATAGATGTGGCAAGGCCAAAGAGGTCTTGAATGTCTCAACTATCAGAACTTTGTATGACCCTGGTCTGAGAATAGCTTAAAAGTTTAAAAGTCGTTATTTGGACCAAATTCTCAGTGCGGAAACATCCACACTTTTGCTTTGGCATCTTTTCCTTTTCTTATTATTTAAACATGTAATGTAGTTTTTATTACCTGTTATATATATTTTGGGAATCTGTAAGTTCATGCCTTATGATGCTTTAGTCTTTCCTCTGCTTCACTGTTCATAACATTGTATTTGGGGTGTCCAAACCTTCACACCCCTCCACATATAGTTTACTGTGCATCAAACAGGCACTTTGTCTCTTGTCCCCATTGTCTAACACTCTTCCTTCTGTTCTTTTCTTCCTTTGTTCTCTCTTTTCTGTTTCATATGTGTTTCACCCTTGTCCTGACTTCACTTCATTCTGTCGTTTCCATTCTGTTTCCACACTGTGTGCATTTGTGATTCTTGCCCCTCTACAGAACCTGCCCCAGGTAAAGCAGGTTCAGGCCCTGCGGCAGCTCAAGGAGCGCCTGCAGGCTGAGAACCGGGCTCTGTCCCGTGTGGTGGCCAAGCTCTCGCAGTCCGCCTGCAGCCACCTGCCCAGCGTTGACCTTTAAACCATCATCCTCTACTCTTGGTCTCTTCTCTCCCCCATTCTTCTTCTCATGCATCATTCTGTACTGCCCCCTCGCACACACACAGGCAGGTGCCCCCCCGTCACTGGTTTCCTGTTCTGTATTGCTTGACCTCCCCAGAGCTTTTGGTTGTTTAAATGGGGAGAGTGTCTTTTCCCGACTGGACACTTTCATTTTACTGTTCTGATCTGTGATCTTTTGAAAAAGTGTAATTCTTAATGATAAGCCACATGATGCAGAGAAGGGGCTGTAAAAGAAAGTGTCCTTGATACTTGTGTTGCTCAGAGAGCCGTTTTAAAGTTTGCTTTGTTCTGGCTTTTCTGCATGAAGTGGCTTCATGAACTCTTGGCCCAGATTCTCAAACATAACTTGTATTACTACAGAGTCTGACACAGTTGATTTTTCAAAGTATTCAATCACTTAATTTGACACAAACACCTCCTTGAGCCAAGTGCATGCACAGACGAGTGCATTGAGTTGCTGCATTTGCATATTGCTTATTGAAAAGGTATTTAATAGTTTTAGTTTTATTTAATTGTTTTATATCATGAATCTAGTGGGAACGGAACTAATATAAAGAGTGACTTGTGGTTTTTCCACTTTCAAACTGAGTCCTTACTGATAAAAGAAACAATTTGCGGCCCCCTGTTTGGTCCTCCCCAACCAAACTGTCTACAGTTGCCACAGGCCATTTTATTTTGAACAAAATATTTAAGTATAGTGGTAAACTAAAAGTGTGAATAATGCTTGAGCCCTTTAGTCTGTGGTTTTGTGGCTGTCTAATAAGCAGCCAGTCTGATTGTGCATGGTTTTCTGAAGAACTTTGGCCCTGGTGTCTCCGCTCTCTCTGCTCTCTTTTGACCTGGTACAAGGATTGCACAAAGGAGGCTGATTAAACTTTATAGACTGCAGTTAACTGTTTTGCACAACCAGCCTGCCTGGTTCCACACCAATGTCTGTTCAGACCTGTCTAAATTTTCTTCCCCTCCCTCTTTTTTCTTTTCAGATGCTCCCAGACTTGAAAGCCGACAACCAGAGACTTAAGGACGAAAACGGAGCGCTCATTCGAGTCATTAGCAAGCTTTCCAAGTAGAGCTGGATCCCCCCGCCTTGTTTTCTGCTCCCCTAGTTCCCTTGGCAGTGACTAAGGAATTGCACATTTAGATATTAATTGCAACAGACATCACAGACAAGACTTCTTCTTTTTCATGTACTCTTCACAATTCTTAAGCTTTATTTGCTCAAAGCTGCAGTCACTGTTTTCCATTTTTCAGCAAAAAATCTGGATACATAATACTCACTATCTCAAACAAACCACTTGAGTTTACAAAGAAAATGGTTGTGTGATGAGCATGTCAAAGTGTTGTGGGTGGGGAAGCTGAAAAACTATTTAACCAATAAGCCTTATTTGTAGAAAAAAACACTTGCATCAATCTCGGCTCACACTGAAGAACTATTATTCACCTGATTTTATTTGTGCCACAATCTCTTGTGTTTGTTTTCTTTGTGTAAGCATTGTTTGCTGTGCAGTCCCGCGTTTCCCTGTGTGCCCTCAAAGTGCCACCTCCGCCCTATTGTCCGCTCCTGTGGCCAGAACAGGAAGCTCCTGTCTCACGCAAACGCACCCTGCTCTGCTTTTGTCTTCCTCCAAGAGGGAAATTCTTGCTTTTGCGATTGAAGGTAGTAGGTCGAGTTTAAGCTTTCATTGTATGTGCAATATGCATTTATTTTTTTAACGCTTTAATGACGAGTCCATCAATAGATTTTCACTCTTCTGCAACACTCATGGCCCACTCTCCTCTCCCTTTTATTTTAAGTTTGTAGTGTAGCCAGTTATACTCTTCACTTGTTTTAGCAGGTACTGAGTGACGCTGTATTACCTGTATGTGTTTGTTTGAGATCAGCACATGATATGCATTTAGCTTTCCTGTCTGTTACTATTAAACGTATACAAATTTGATTTATTTTAAATATTTTATTTAGAGACACAGATAAGCCTCTCTTAAAGAGATGGCAGCCATGTTTAGTGCTAACTGTACACAATTGTGAGATAAGCGCTTTTCTACATTTCACTTTCAGTCTTGGAAGAAGGCTTTGTTTTCTTTCCATTTTAAAGCTGTAGTAGCCAAGATGTTGCTAACCCAGTCTTTTTTCCTTTTACTGTTTTTTTTGTTTCATTAATTTTTTTTTTTTTTTTACAATGTCTTCATGCACTGTCAATGCCATGTGCAGATTCCTGTAGTCAGGATTGATTTAAGCTGATGCTACCAATATTCCACACATGTAAATCATTGTTTGCATTTCAGTGGCCTTTTTAAGGATATTTTAGTAAAAAGAGAAACGTCACTGGGGGTGGATGACCATCTACTTTGGTTTAGACTGGTTTTTGTTTTTTCATCATCTTGTAAAATAGGTGTGGCTTATAATGCAAGCTGTGCTGTGACTACCAACCACTGATGAGTTCATTAAAATAAAGTTGTACATTGTAAACATTCCACAATGTCTGCATAACAATCATTTCCGGTTTTTGGCACAAACCAGGACGCAAGGCAGAACCACATGGTTAAGGCTGTCCTGCATACCTTAAGAACATGTTTAAAATGGTGTAGCTATTTATTATGAGTATTCTAAAATCGTTAGTTCCAAAAAGCAATAAATCGTGTTCAACATTGAAAGTGTAATTGATCTATTTTTTTCTTAGTTTATTATCAGAATGCTTAACCCTGTAGTACTGAAAATCATCAGCAGATGGCGTCATCTGCATAAATTCGTTTAATCATTATGAAGCTTGGCAGTGTATGAACAAACAATACTGAATCCATAAGGGCAATTGTTATACGGTTAATTTAATACACATGATTTATTGTATATGATCCATTAATTTGTAATTATGGATGTTCTACCATGTGCAGTTTGAGAAGATGGAGCCAAGGAGATGGGCAAATACTTACATTTAAAGGTGCAAGAAGGTAGTATTCACAGAGAGCCCTGTTCTATTAAGAGGGGCTTAGACTGCCGGCCTGCCTGGATGCTTGGTCACTCATTTGTGTACACTGGCTTTAGTTTGTGATGGTTGGAAATTGACAATGAAGTAATGCTTTCTTATAGGCATCACTTTTGAGCCTTGCGTTGGCCTAATCCCTGGCCTTTATTATTTTTTTCATTTTTTTTTATGTAAGCAAACCTCACATTCCCCAGGAGTAATTTGGAGCGTACCGACTTAGACACAGAAGATGAGCAAAGCACTTGAGAAGCTGACTACAGGCGGCAGCAGCGGGATCCTCCGTCAGGACCAACAATGACAGATGGAAGTATTGTGATCAAGTGACAGCTCCGGTCTGTCAGTGAAACAAAGACAAACACACTTGAAAAGGAAAGGCTGATTTAAAATGCTCCATCTGAAGAGTGAGATACAGAGATGACAGATTGGATCCTATAGTTTAATTCAGACTGTGCTTCCTGTCTTATTCTGACAACATGGTCCAGTGACAGGATTGGTAATAATGGTTATCAATAAAGGGGGAAACTTTTTGTGAGTTTCATTATTTGGATATAGAATAGCCAATTTAATACTCTTGTTTTATCATTTTTTACCAATGTTATTTCTTTTGGCTCAATTACACAATATTGGAAGAGGTAACATAATTGCCAGACTAAGCCGCTACTCTTTTCTGGTTATTTATTAGTGCATCAAGTACTGTTATCCTAAATTATTAGTATTTTCTATACATTTTCTATATGAAGATTATCCCTTCACCCATCCATTTTCTTCCGCTTTATCCGTTGCCGGGTCGCGGGGGCAGCAGTCTAAGCAGAGACGCCCAGACTTCCCTATCCACACACACCTCCTCCAGCTCGTCCGGGGGGACCCCTAGGCGTTCCCAGGCCAGCTGAGAGTCTCTCCAGCGTGTCCTGGGTCTTCCCCGGGGCCTCCTCCCGGTGGGACGTGCCCGGAACACCTCCCCAGGAAGGCGTCCAGGAGGCATCCTGAACAGATGCCCGAGCCACCTCAACTGGTTCCTCTCGACGTGGAGAAGCAGCGGCTCTACTCCGAGCTCCTCCCGTGTGACCGAGCTCCTCACCCTATCTCTAAGGGAGCGCCCAGCCACTCTGCAGAGGAAGCTCATTTCGACCGCTTGTATCCGCGATCTCGTTCTTTCGGTCATTACCCACAGCTCATGACCATAGGTGAGGGAGGGAACGAAGATTGACCGGTAAATCGAGAGCTTTGCCTTTCGGCTCAGCTCCCTCTTCACCACAACGGTCCGATACAGCGACCGCATCACTGCGCACGCTGCACCGATCCGCCTGTCAATCTCACGCTCCATCCTCCCCTCACTCGTGAACAAGACCCCGAGATACTTGAACTCCTCCACTTGAGGAAGGACCTCTCCACCCACCTGCAGAGGGCAAGGCACCTTTTTCCGGTCGAGCACCATGGCCTCGGATTTGGAGGTGCTGATTCTCATCCCAGCCGCTTCACACTCGGCTGCAAACCGTCCCAGTGCATGTTGCAGGTCCTGGTTCGTTGGAGCCAGCAGGACGACATCATCCGCAAAAAGTAGAGATGAAATCCTGTGGTTCCCGAACCGGACCCCCTCCGGCCCCTGGCTGCGCCTAGAGATTCTGTCCATGAATACAGTGAACAGAACCGGTGACAAAGGGCAGCCTTGGCGGAGGCCAACATGCACCGGGAACAGGTCTGACTTACTGCCGGCAATGCGAACACAGCTCTGGCTCCGGTCATACAGGGACCGAACAGCCTTCAGCAGAGGACCCCGGACCCCGTACTCCCGGAGGACCCCCCCAAGATGAAGATTATGAAGATTATATTCCAAAAAAATAATATATTTAGTATGTAAACATTCCACTGTATGTATGTTTTGATGGAAGTTTAAATTACATAAACACGATTAATTTTTGTAAAGTAGCAATTAATGTGTTTGTAATGCCACTGATTGTAATGGTGGATGTGTTGGAAACACATCCACCATTACTGCCTCATCAGAACCGATTCCAGCACACAAGCTCTTGTGAAACAAAAAGGCATTTTGAGTTCTACTGTAAACAATTTCATGGAGGCATGACTTTAGAGGGCGGCAATTCAGAAAAGGTAAATTAAATGAGTGAATGCATGAGTTCCCGATATGAACTTGCTCTATTAAAACTGCCTTTTAACATGCTATTCAATTTAATATAACATTTACCTTTGCTCATCCATGTTCAGGTATGTTTTAGGCCCATAGTTTCTAGTCTAGGCCTAGTCTTGGCTTAAAAAACATTGAGTTCACAGAGTAGTTTGAGATCAAATAACATAAAATTTACAAAATTCTATCAGCTCAAAAAGTTTGAAACAGATTTAGTCCATTGAGGAAAGTTGCCAAGTTAAAATTGATTCCATGTGCTTTGTGGTTTGAGAACAAACTGTAACAGTCTTTGCTATCCATCCACTTTCCTTTCCCTCTTTAATATCATATCAACACAAATATCCTAAATATGCAGCAATGTGACCAGCGGCTACAGTTCAGGGTTTATTTTTAGATGAGGCACCACACTCCTTTTACTCCACCTAATTTCCTCATTATCTGCAACAGCACATAGATAGCAAGTGAATGTCTGAGTCACTCTCGTCTGACTTCTGGTGCTGGAATTTTGGGTAAATAAACCCCCAGCCAGGAAGTTCATAAGCAAGCAGCATATTTGCATCCAGTAAAATTTAAGGCTGTGTTGACAATGAAGTCACCCAAAATGTATGCACCTTTGGGACCAAGAGAGATGCTCACAAATCTAACGGCACCTGCCAGTTGCGATAAGTTATAGAGCTATTACCGTGGAATGAAATAGGTTTACAACAGCAAGCACCTCAAGCATGTTAGAATTATTATGGGGAAAAGGGGCCCTATGCATTATGTGTGACTGCACATGGGAGATCAGATATGTGTGGAGTACTTTGAGCATTTTACAAGAGAGGTATGCAGTGGGAGTTATTTACGACATACCATGTTAATAGACTTCCTGTCAACGGCATCTCCTAATGGGAGGACCACAATAACAATGTCTTTGCTTATAAAGCTGGGGTGCCTAACTCTGACTCTAACTCAGGACCTATGTAAAAAAATCATCGTTCCTCAGTCTCAAAACTGTTTAATTCTATTTTTGTTTTCACTTGCATTTGATGTTTGGCCTCTCACCTAAAATGGGGGTTCGTTTAACACATTCATAGTGCTATCTTATATTTTTGTCCATCCATCCATTTCTGGGTCAGGGGGTGGCAGTCAGAGCTGCACCTAGTACAGAGAGCACCAGCCCCTCACTGATCCTCCTGCAGGTGGTGAGTCCACAGGAGCCTTGATCTGTCTGTGGGGGCTTCAGGCAAAGTGGTGTTAAGCATCTTGCCACAACGACAGCTGTCATCAGTGGGAGTCGTGAAGTAGGTCTCGTGGTGGATCTGAATCTACGACCTTCAGGCTCAAAGGCTGATGCTCTACCAACTGAGCAACTGTCGTTATATTTTGTTATATTTTTGTGTTTAACATAATGTTTTGCGTCTATATTCTGGCTTGTACTTACATGATATAAGTGAGTGCTTCTTTGCTATTGTCACTTACTTATCAATAAGAATATGGTAAGAGATGTGGCATGAGTGATCAGTCAATGGGCTATTAGTCAGCTGGTCCCAATGAGGCTTTCTCAGATCAGTACAGCAGTGGAGTGAGTGAGTCATAATGGGATCTCTTTTTGTACAAAACTAATTTTGCACAAAAACAGCTACTTAAAATAAATGTCTAAAAGATTGTGCGTCATTGCTTGTGTAGATTTTTCAACTGTAAAATCAGGTAGATGTGGAATAACGCCTAAACAATCATTGTGTTGCAGACATATGACATACATTATATTGTAGTAATAACAATACAATTTTTCTGGGTAATTTTTAAGGTATTCTGCATACAATAAAATGTATTCATGAATTAATGTACTTTTTTAAAATTATTATTATGCCCAACTGTATATCTATATTGACGTATGGATACTTCATATTACACGGGTGCAGTATTGGTGATGTATGTTCAAATGGTAACTTTGTAAATGGTCCTTACATCACCACGCCTGTCAAAGATCACCAAACGCTCCTAACTCCACTGACCCAGAAGCACACTCGTCTTTCGGGTTTTGTCGGAGCTCTTCGGGAGTTTCCGGAGCATTCTGTGGGACACGCAGTCGCGCGAGGACAGACGCCATGTGAGCACGAGCCGTGGGCACCTGGTCGTCAACAGGTACGTGTTTGTCTTTTAATCCTACAAAACTTAGTTAAACATCACTTTAACACACTTTTTATACTTTCCTGTTTGGGAAAAGTTAACCGAACGTCTAGGAAAACTTTTTTTTATTAAATAGTACTAAACTTTCGTAAACACGCAGCTAAATGACGTCGCTAAACATTAACGTGTGAAGTATTTTTAGTTTTACGTGAACATTAAAAGTTTAGCGAGACGTTGTGGAATGACTTTTCTCTTCCTTGTACCTGTCAGCAGCAGCCAGGCTAATCACTTGAGGAATGCAGCTTGATTAGGACAAGAGACGAAGCGAGTTCAACCCATAAAAGAATTCGCCAAGTAAAAATTCACGCTCAAACTGTGAGAATGGCCACGGGAGGGTTCAAGTCCAGCGCAGCCACGGATTTCTTAGAGGAATGGAAGGCTAAACGTGAGAAAATGAGAGCCAAAATGCTTGGGGACATTGCCGCGGCCACTGGTGCTCCCTTGGCGGCTTCCCACACGAGCAGCAGCAACAGCAGCCCGGAGAAGAGCCCCCCGCCTGGGAACTGCTTTGAGACTGGCCACCCTTTGCACCCAGCAGCACCCACTGCAGCTCCCACTACTGCGACGCCTGCAGCCTCAGCTAATGTCAAGAGGAACCCGGTCCAGACCATCCAGACAGACGAGCCCCGTGTGGCCCCTGGCTCCTCTGCGGTGTGTGCGAAGGACAGTGACGGCGGGGACAGTCCATCTCCCAGCCGCAAGAAGAGCAGTGGTCCCCGGGCCAGGAAGGGAAAGGGCCAGATCGAGAAGAGGAAGCTGCGGGAGAAAAGGAGATCTACCGGTGTGGTCAGCATGCCGTCCAATGAGGTGAGAGCTCCAACTACATATGGTTTTACTGGTTTTACTGAGGTTACGGCATAGGCCACGCAACAGGTGAACATGTTGCGTCACATGATTACAAACTCGATTCAGAAACTAATACATGCACTCAAAACAGATGTTGATACCACATCTAAAACTTGATAAACCAAAACATGTCTTTCTTTTGGACACTGAGTTGTTATTTTTAAATATTTGTTTATGGTACATTATAGTACTTTTATTGTATATTTATTTATAGTTTTATTTATAGTTCTGAGATTAGTCATTCAAAAACTGATCAGAGAATCTCACATTTTGTCTTGTTTGTGTGATTTTGAATTTCAATATTGATACTTTCTGAAATGAGTTTAGTTTCAATACGAGTTTTAATGTTAATATCTGATTTTTGATTCTTTTGACAACCCTAACTCTAAAAGTGATGTTTGGGGCTGAACACATGTCCTGTCAATCGTTTCATTGACTAATGACTAACTACACATGTCGTTAGGCACAATGACACTTATATTTAGAAATTGAATAAAAACAATGAAGGCTTGTAAGAATCCTAAAGCATTTTGCTCCACATCTATTTTTCGAAGTTTTCACATCGAAATTCTGACACGTATATTTGAAACCATTTTTGTTTTTTTTTTAAACAGCCCTCAATCACAACAGCCGTTGTCTCGGTGAAGACATCACAGAATAATCTATTTGTCCACAACAGATTAGAAAATCAACAATCAGAAAATAAGGAAATGCATAAAAACACATTCGAGTGATTGGTCCAGGGTTTAATATGATGTTTATAAATGTCCTGGATCATCAGCTTTCCTTAGACCATTGACAAGGAACAAATTGACAAAAAAATTACTAAACATTGACAACCCTACTGTACTGGAAAGGTTGCATTTGTCCTGTCTGTGCATTACTTGATGCTTGCTACTCGGAAAAAAATAAGTTGGTTTATACACTCTGCAATAGGACAGACAAAACATTATTAGTACATATCTTGGAGTAAAATCTTATGACCTGTGAAGCATTTCCCACTTAAAAATGGCAAGACGTTAAATGACCCTGAACTTCTATGTCAATATTTCTAGCTTCTGGAGGCTTAAGGCTGCCTCAAGAATCTGCTCCTCTTTACAGTCTGTGTAAATGTTGTATGATTTCTGTTAAGCAACATGGAAGAATGTCGAGTACATGTTTTCACTTTTCCATCGTATCCCCTATTGGCTTACTTGTTATTCCAGAGCAAGCAAATGGTTCAAATCCAAAAAAAGAACATGGTGTTTTGCTAAAGTCTTTGAATTCCTCTCATTCATGTGTCTGTTTTAATTGCTCTTGTGTGATATGAGAGAGAGGGGTCCTGGGATGTGGGACAGTGATTTTTTCTGTTTTTGCACTTTGTGTTGGTCTATTGCCTCAGGATTTCAATGTTATTGTTTGGAAGCCTCTTACCTAATTCCTGTGGTTCAGTCGCATGCAGGAACAGCTATAAAGTGGTGCCACCCAAGTTTACGCCCACTTGTCGTTACTTTCATTATGCACTCAGAAAAGCTATCATCACACATTGGGGACTTGTAAAGCAACATTTTCTAACAAACATATTTGCCCCTCAATTTAAGCAGATGAGAAACAGAATGCCATCATCGTTTATCACAATGAGGAAATGCAAAAACCAAAACGGTTTTGAACAGTATTTCCTCATTGTAGCAACACCTGAAAAGAGTGAAATGTTTTTCATGAAAAACAATACATACTAGATTCAAGATGATGCTGTAAACGGCCAAACTGTATCCATCTGTAAAATGTATTTTCCTCTTCAGTGAACAGAGACTGGAACCATGCTAATGATTGTTCAAAAGCTGCTTCCTCCCAGTGCAGCTGCCTTTGTGATGTGAATACAAGTGGACAGGTGTGAATGGAGATGCCTGGGATAGGCCCTCTCTCGTTGTGTGGGATAATGGCCCTTGAGCATCTGGGGAACCCAATCTTTTGCCTTTTGAGGCTTTAATGGTGCGATAAAGGATCTCCTCAAATGTGAAAGTGCATCTCTGTACTTGCCCATCAACCTCACCGCTGCATTTCTCTTTCCTTACACGCCTCCTTGTCAATAACCTTTCACCTGTGACACAGTACAGCTGTGTCACAGATGTATATTCAAATCGACATGCATCTGCGTGACAGGCTGAAGCAGAATTGAGGGGAGAATATACTTTTCCGACGGCGTATTTTGTGTGACTCTGCAGCTTTTATACATCTCTGTTGTGGTGTCGAATGTGCAACTTAATCCAGGCTCTGCACACTGTGCATTCCTCCTGCATTTCCCCAAGTCTCCCCTCGCAGTGAAGAAACATACAAGTGTTGTGAGTATTAATAAAGGCGTTCTCCGTAGGCACTGGCCGTCTGCACTCACACACACTGTAATTAACAAGGACTTTTATTTGACAAACTGGTTTTCGGGCATGCTCTTCTGCAGCAACTGTGGGCTCCAGGTCTTTGCTGCCTCCCTCCCTCGTTTTTAGGCAGCCCTTGCTGTCGCCCTAAACTGAGGGACTAGTAAATAATTTTTGTGTAGACAAAGTGTTTGTCAGGCCTTGTGTGAAGCCATATATTTAAGAAAACTGTATGTCCAAATTGGAACATAATTTGATCAAATTTGAGATCTCAAATGTGCAGGAACGGCTGACTGAACCTACAGCCTTTGCAAAGGTTGACTTTTGTGGGGATTTTAGTGCCCCTTGTCATCATCCTGAAGTGTTATTCTTTTAACATCCATCAGTTTAAAAAATAATCCACATTAGTGATAACAAACTCCGCTGTAGCTCCGCTCTGATGATTGGCCAGAATGCTCACATGGCCACAGGCCATAGATTTGAATGGGCAGACATCTTGGAGACTAGTGAGATCCCCCAGGTGATTCATGTTGTTGTAACTTTTATGTGCCCACTTAATGATTCGACAAAGTGCTTGGGAACTGGAGCAGTGTGAGGTTTGTTCATGTGGATGTGTGCAGCAGTGGTCTCTGGCAGGTTTATGGTGCCACAGTTGATTAGAGCAGAGAGTGATGTCATTAGTCTAGTCCAGCCTACTGTTCGATCAATGATTCAACCAAACACCAACATTTATTCTACTGTACAACAGTTCTACTGTATAATTAGGGGTGTTCTTAAAAATAATAATCTTGTTTTAGATACATCTTTTGTTATTTTTAAATGTAATAACATTGTTTTATTTAGAAAGATTTAATTGTATAATATTTTGAAATTAGTAACAATTCATCTTGAATAGCTTTAATAATATGTACATGAATTTCCAGTGTTATTTTTGTTAACATGTGGCGGAGAATTGGATAACTCATTCATACAAATACCAAATCTCAAATGTAATGTCCCCTGAATCAACTACAACAATTGCAATCATATTTTATGTGCAAACAAGCATTTAAAATGGTTCCAACCTGCACCTATCAATAAGTGTACTTTTAACTATTTATTAATTTTGGACACATTTTCTTATTTGAAGATGGGACGTTGCTTTTTGTAAATATCAGAATAATTGTCACAGGGATTTTCTCATGGACTCATGGTGCAGGTAAGAAAGGAAAGTTGGCTCAACAACAGGAATGTGGCTCTTGATGTGAAACATTCTTCAGTTTTCCCAAGTTCTGGCTTCTCGACAAGAAAATTTGGTTTGGTTGACTTATTGGAAAGAACTCTGGTTTGTTTACAAAGGCCACTGTTATGGGTTGTGCTTCAAAGGGAATGAATGGAATGAATGGTCCCTCAATGCAAAGCGAGAAATGGAGCTCTGCACCTCACAGTATATTGTGTTTGTGATATTGTGCCCTTATCAGTCATGTAGCTATGAGTTAATTTGATCTTCTATAACAATACTTTAGATTATGAAAACATGTTATTTACATTCGAGCAGAATAATTATTTTGGTTAAAAATAAGAATTTGGCGATTTCAACATTTTACTTCATACACGTGTATTGCGTAGCGACAGCGGATCTGTTATTTTTGAGCCTGATTCTGTTTTTTATGAAGTTCAGGACAAGTGTATCTAATCATGACTTGTATTAATCACAGACAGGAGCGGGAGAGATTCCTTTGTCCCTAAACCCAGGTCAACCATTGTTGATTGCAGTGGCGGACCGTGCATTTCACACCTAGGCCTTCAGTAGTGCTCGTCTGAATTAATCCACCTCTCAATAACTACTTTATGGCTATTTATACACCAAGTAGATCTGGCCGTGCAATCTAATGAGGCGTTTTGAGCATTATCAAATTATAATGACATCAGCGCAACACTAAACATATAACTCCGTCTGTATGGTTACCATGGCAACAATACACGCTTCCTGCATCGGAAGTTGGTAAAGAACGACAAAACACAATCCTCCATGAATTTTCTGTGAGTAACAGCCAGATCCAGCGTTAATCAATCAGCTCGTCATATTGAGAGCTGCAAATAACAGTTATATCAATGAGCCACACAAAAATGCAGCCCAGACAAGACCAGACCAGACCGGACCATCAGCCCAAAGCGGCAGGGGCCTATTTGAGAGTTACAGAGAAGAGAGAAAAAGTCTCCTTATACTGCAGCTACAGCTGCAACACACATAAAAAGTGCAACATTATTTAGGAAAATAGAGATAGCCCATCTCCAAAAGGGTAGTCATAGCACTAATAAGTGTACGGCTGGGGTTACATTTCTAGCCTCAGAGTTACCTGAACTTTCTTAACAATGTCCAGCTTTACGTGAAAAGTCCTTCTAGAAAATATCTTTGATAAAAAATCTGCAAACCAAGTCAACTTCTTCTCCTTCAGCCAGTGTGGGTCGTACATTTACAAAAATATTGTTCAGCTCGCAACGGAAGCAGTTTGCTTGTTCTATAGCGCGCTCTCTGACTATCCAAATCAAAGGGTGGGAATACGCTGACGTTACCGTACGTCTGCTCTGATTGGTAAAAGCAACAGTCTGATCAACACTTATTTTATG